ATCACTAAAGACTACTTAACATGTTTGAGCAGGTTCACATTGGTGACTGCAACGAGATAGGTTGTGGTCAGACTTATTTGCTGTGTCCTGGAAGGAGATTCACACGCACATGCAGTCTTCTCGAAGTCTCTTTCTAACCATCACACTTTTCTCGATTGAAGTCTCTATTGCGCACATGCTCATCATCATCGACAGCATGACACCGGTGTTCAAAACCGATGCTCCACTGCAGAAAAACCATGATTTATTTGAAAGCCTTATTGTAAATTAATAGTAAAGGCGGACGGGGAAGTGACTTAGTGCTAGCTTACCACAACCATTACGAGGTGCCTAGGCCTCCAGACACTCACTCAGGCGATCTGGATAGAAACTGGTAACAAGAACGCCACTGACATCGGTTGGCAGTCGTATATTGTAGTTTCTCCAACCAGGCACAGTGCGGGTCACGTATCCCCATCCTGAAAGGCGAGTGCTACCGACAGCACACAAGCTTTTCTTGATCTCCTTCGTACTCCTCTGCCAAGTCAAGGTTTGGCCACTTCTCTGCTCACGTTACTCTAAATCGGACATAAAATACAGCACACTCTTCGGCAAACGATAGTTCGGCATACGCAGCATACGTTTCAACCAACGCAGCTTCTGCTGCTGGACACATCCTTTATTGCAAGTTCCCGCTGCACAAACGAAAACGCGCTTTCTAACTGTCTCGCCACAATCTTGTGGTCATCAACCCACACGAACTATGATTCTGAGACAACGATTGTCGAACACCTGAGGGCATCTCAGTTTTGCTGCTGGGAAGGGCCAAGTCTCACAGCCGTACAACAAGACAACCCGTACTCTACCTTGATGCACGCGTCCCTTGATATTCACGGATCACCCCTATGGCGCCATAGGTGGCTCAAATTAGCACACGCGGCCCGATGATTGCAGATTCGTGCATCCCTTTCATCCACCACACTACACTGAGAACCAATACAACTTGCAAGTTACGTAACACGCTCCACAACTTCCAGCACCTCTCCCTGGATTGTAAGGGGCGTGTTCAGTGACTGCACGTCCACGAGCACCACCCTACACTTTATGGGTGCAAAGTACATACCAAAGGATAGGATGACTTTGGTCAGTTCAACCAAGAAAACGTGCACTTTCTCTTCCTTTTTGAACATAAGATTGATGTCGTCCGCATATTCCAGACCGACAAGGATTTCTTCACAGGCAATTTGAACACTCGGGTTTTGGAAATCCTCCTGCGTTCATCTCATTATTCCATTGATCGCGAAGTTAAAAAGGAATGGAGAGATTGGGCAACATAAACTGTCACAGCCTTGTGTACGGAAGGTTTTTGGAGAGCTCTCCGTACAATCCCACACGTCCGGAAGTCCGACAATACAAAGAACGTATTACGTTTACAAACTTTCACGTCAGTACTTGGGGGCAAGCGTTTCAAGTAGAACAGACCTATCAGCCTACTCGAATGTGCCTCGGAAATCCAGGGGTACTAGAATTGTGGGTCGCTTATTTGTATGTCCTTTTTTATAACACCTAACGAAGTGTAATTATTTGGTCAATGAAGGCCCTACCTGGTCGGAATCCCGCTTGCTGCTCTCGAGTCAGTATCTCGCGAGCCACCGTAAGGTGGTGAAGCACAATTGATGCCAAGTGTCTCGTTTCGACCGGGGTCAAGCTGATCCCCCTGCGGTTACCAAACTCACTACACGCCCTTTTTTTAAAAACGGGCATTATCACCGAATGCCCTAGTTATCTGGGACAGACTTCTTTTTCCAAATGCAAAAAACAGATCGGACTAGCGCTGGACTTCACCCCGTCTCTGATCAGTGCGCGTAGCAGATCACCCGGACCAGGAGCTCGGTGCCGCTTGAGAGAACATATGCAGGTGTATACCTCTGAGGCCGTAGGTGGTTCCACGTTCACCGTTCACGGCTCTGCTACCCCTATGGGCTCTGGGTGAGTGCCGTCTGGTTAACGCGACATTTGTTGTTTGAAGTATTCGGCCCACTGGCCGAGACGTTATTCTTTATTCGAGATGGTTTTCTCATTCACTCATAAGTGCTTTCCGCGGGCCAGTCACGCAGATCCACTTAACTAATCTTCGGGCATTGCCGGCTTTCTGGGCCTCTTCCATTTCATTGGCTTTCTGTGTCCACCATACTTCAGGATCGGCTCACAAGCTTACTTACAGTCGACGTCTGATAACTCTTTGCAGCGGGTTATGTTCGCGACCCGCTGGGATATTTTACCGCGATTTTAGCAGTGCCACCGTTCGGTCTGATATCCAGTGCTTGGGTGCACCCGGTTGTATCGCACCACAGGTAGAATTCCCAGCACAATGCAATGAGATGACAATCTCGTCCAAGTATGATTCCATATCTAATGTTGGATCATTCGGAAGTGACTCTAAGAGATGATTCTGTTGGATTCACCTAACATCCGGATTTGTCAGTTCCTCAGTGGCCAAGCGATTAGTCCGCATTTCACTCAGCCCAGAGAAATGCAACGAGAAACGACTCCGGAAAAGCGCGCGGTCACAGTCCACAAAAGTGTTTCAAAATTACCAACAGTCAGTTATTGGTCCATGCCATCGGTAATTGATAACATTGTGGTTGATTTGAGTTTGCGGCCGGTCTGCCGTTGCGGGATATCACGTGGCCAGACTTCGGCTGCAAAAAACAGCCCGCGACCAGCACACAGCTGAAGCACACGTTCACCAATGTCCGTACTAATAAATTAAGTCTGCCCACTTGCGCATTCATAGCTCCGGCATCCATCACAACGTCCGAGCATTTAGCTCGCCGCAGCAGGATATTCAGAGCGCCGTAAAACCTGTCTTTAACGACATTGAAGATACAGGCATTTGGGGCATAGGCAGATGCGCCAAACAGGTACCAATCAGCCTCCCGCTTGTGAGACCACTTCACAGACGTTGCCAGACGAACCTCACAGAGACGAGTATCCACAGGTATCCATTCAAGTAAGGATATTTCCGCTCGGTGACTTAGCACAATACCAACTCACGCATATCCCCCGAAGCGGCTTCTGGATCACCAGAAGTGCGCACCCGGAAGCGAGTGTACAATGACGGAGCCATTAACTCAACTACTGTGCTTGCAAACTTAATTCGCGTTTCTGATACACAGCACAAATCAATGCGAAATGGGTCCAGTTTGAGTGCAAGAGGAGCTTGTTGTCCTGCTTACTTCAGAGTGCAGACGTTCAACACGGTCAGATAGACTGAGGGTTAAGGCTTGAACATTGATTTGGGGACACCAGAGCATATCGGCGCCGGATCATGCGCTGATATCGCTTTCGAAATCGACGGAGGAATAACAGAGTCAATAATCATAAATGCTGGGCCTAAAGGGATGGATTTAATAACGGGGTGAGGGGAGGGGGAAGAAAAAGTATGTGAAAGAGAAAGAAGGAAGGTGTCAGCAGTAACCTGTTTTCGCTTACCCGCCCTGCTGTATGCAGCAAGTAAGGCGACCCGGCTGATGGCAACACGCGACGACCTATATGGCATGAGTTTATTTGTCTGTGTGCTTTTCATGGTTGTACGTGGTCTGGGATACTGCTAGGGCACTCACACTTGGATTGGAGAACGGATAGGATCCCCCGTCAAAGCCTTTGCCTCAAAAGCCGCATGACCGCATAATAGCGGTGTTAGGCGGGAAATGCAAATGCATTACCATTTCTACGGAACAAGTTGCCATATGTTCCAACCCCCAACTTGGAGGGCCAGCAGACTGTGTTCATCAGAATTCTATCCATTGACCAACCTTGTATGACAAACTCTGAGAGTGTCACGGGGATACTCCCCAGTATAGCTCGATGGATTATTGAGGCGCGCAAACCGTAACACCACGGTAGGGTCCAGTCTTTTTTTTTGACAGTCGTTTGCACACCAGAACACTCATTTGCTAAGTATCACCCTGTGCATTCACAGACATCAGTTTGCACCAGTTTTGGTTATGGGATATCTGCCTTTGCTTGAAGATTCAGGTTAGTTACAAGTTAGTTGCTTCCAAGGACCACGCTTATTATTTTGTTTGCAATAAATCTTTCAAATGAATCATGCCTGTACCGCATCGAACCATCAACGGTTTCGTGCTGTCTTAGTCGCATTCTTATAAGTTTTAAGACACAATCCAATGACCGAAGGCAGAACAAGACTGACCTCATGTAATTCAACAAAATGGTTCTTTATGTGGCCTGGTTTTGGTAGTAACGTTAACCATCCTCAAGGTTCAATCATGAAGGTGTATGCAGTACTCAAAACATTTGTCAATAAAATTATCTTCAGCGAAATTCGCTAATAAACTTATTTCCATCTGCTTATTTGCATAACTCATGTAGGCAGGAGTTACATAGCAGGCATCAGGATATATATTATCCGCCAATCAAATTGTTTGAGCTACAAAAGCTTGCATGTTTGACTTTTCCTGGAGATTCGTGAGATGACATAGCGCTTCTCGGATTGTCGAGATGACTGCAACTTGAAACCATTGATGTACGCAGTGAGTCACCACTTAGCTTTTCAGAAGTTTCCCGAATGTTATGCTGGCCTGCTGCAAAACTACAATTTTCCGAAGTACACTTTTTTACTTTCCTTCCTAATACAAAAAACCGCGTCAATCTCTCCATAGACCAAGATTATCACTAAAGATGCTCATGAAATTATCAATCCCGTGAAACATTTTGCACAAAATTTTATTGCTCAGTACGATCTGAAGGGCGTAGGCGCTCAATGAATGTTCCAGAATACAACACAAATCAATAATGGGATCATATTTTTGTAAACAATTACGCAACTGATCAGTCATTGAACAAGGTGATCAGATGTTCGATCATACTCTCGTCAGCATAAACGCTGTACCGCAGACCTATTAGATTTGTGGTGGATAGCATTTTCACACCATTGCCATACATGTGTATGGCAAAGTTTAATTCACAGGAGACGCATATTATAGAATTCCAGGCACATGAAGCTTCAGGTATGCCTGGACAAGATGAGTTGTTGTTCGGTTCTCATTGCCTTCTTGTTCTTCATCGACCATGTTGCTTGGTTGGAAGCCGTCGGTGTCCACAATTGGTCATCTATTTTTAACAGTAATCCATCAAATAACTGGGTTCTCCTGGGCGCTGATTCCAAATCCTGGGACAATTATCGTCATCAAGTAAGTTTCAGTCGGTATTTCATTGATCTTAATCTCGACCTTTTTTCGAAAGACCACACGAACTAGTTTTCAAAGGTGAACTTTCGAAGCATCGACACCCAAAGAGATGCGTTCTACCTAATTGTCTATATGGTTGTGATGTTTCACTGAGCAAGACGGTTGATCAAATCCACAACCAATGCGTACATATTTCTAGGCCTGTGTACGTTTTTCTAGAGCATTCCCTTGTTGTGCTGTAAATACGCATCTTATCTTTGGATTCTTTCGTGAAACGACATGATACAGGCCCAGAAAACCTTCTTGTCACGCCGAAAGTCATGCTAATTCCTCGGTGGAACATACACTGACTTAGGTCCTCGTCAAATCAACTCAGCTTGTGTAGATGTTTTTTTCCGCCGAAAGGAAGCAATTTAGATAGACAAACAACGACAAATTATTTCGCCGTGAGCGATTTCTAGTTAGACGGTTCCAGCTGCTTCTTACCTTTTGAAGTAGAACATTCAACCGATGATTTCTTCGGAGGTTCCACGTTCAGTTTCATTACCCCAGGTTTGAAGCTACAGTTATTCAGTTGAATAATAGTTGAACATGTTTGGTCATGTTTACTAGTGATTGCTTGGCTCATGGAAGGCCTCTTTGGGACTGTTGTGTGTATTAGCTAACATAGGGAAAGTACAACCGAAAAGTTTCATGCATAGTTTGCCTCTTCAGCCCACAAAGATTCTCAACCCAAGCAGGTGTTGTCTCACTGTTCGCTGGGTGATAGTGTATCTTTTACCTGGAGGAAAACTTGTCCAAGCTTCGAAGGAATTTAAAGTGTTTTCCGAAATCCGGTACTTGCATCCAGTGTGGTGTACCATTTCACAAGCCTAGTACCCGAGCATCTCGCAGATAGAACTGACCAGTAGGCGTTAACGTCAGAAGACGCCGTGTCCGAGAGGAACTTCGATATTGGTTCTGTTTAACATTAGGTTTCGAAAGCTTCTCAGTGGTCACTTGAGCTATGCTCGTCATTCAAGTAGAGCAACATTGAAACAGAAATCATCAATATCCGTGTTTACACAAGTTTTCCAGAACAAGCAACGCCATATATAGCTAACATCGATGTGCTCTGTCTGTGCTGCCGGTTCTGTTGTGTAAAGGGTTGCCATACGCCGCAGCGGCTGCGGTTGGTGTGGGAAGTTACTACTGCACATCTTTAGAACGTAACTATCCCGGGCATCCACCTTTGTCCATGCATTTTGTCTTCGGTATTAGACCTACTGAAATGAGGCGCGGGAGCGCTGAGTCTGCCTACTTGTGCACTGGTACCTTCGGCAACATCAATAATATATGGGCTCTTAGCTCACAAAAGCAAGGCACTCAGAGCACCGTAAAAACTATCCGTGGAAGAATCAGAGCTACATTCTTTCGGAAAATAAGCAGATACAAAGAATAGACAGCGTGTTTACGGGATATTCCCGAAGGTGTTGCAAGGAAGCAACTACCAGACCGCTCAATGAGAAACGATTCGGCTCTGTGGCCTAGACAATGCAGCCGGGGTTTCCAAATCATCAGAGGCGCACAGGGAGAAAGAAGGTCAGACAAACTGATACCTGAGTTCAGCAACCCTGGTGGGATCTTAAATCCTCATTTCGGAAAAAAACAGCAATTGAGTCCAGCGAACAAGCACACAGCACATCTTGGTTGAGATCGACAGACGAACTAGAGAATAATTTTCGAGCATCTAAGGCTATGGCGACCCAGCTGACCGAAGATATTGCATTTGCTGCATCTAATAAGAATGTGTCAACGTAGGTGTCGCTACCACCGGGTTTAGGAAAGTAAGAATTCCCGATATATGATAGAGAAGGAAGGAAGAAAGGCTTGAGTAGTAGTCGTTTTTGATTACTTACCGTGCGGTATATACACCAGACAAGGTAGCCGGGTTGATGAGATCATCCGCAGCCGATGTGACCTGAGATCACATTTGAGCGTGCAATCCATACTTCAACTTAGGCTTTGATACAACAGTGTAAGGATGAATACCCCCACCGCGAAGTCATTTATTCGCAAACATCAACCAAAGAGCTACAAACTACTGACCAGGAAGGTAAACGTCTCATTTGCTCATAGTTTTCAAAAGCGGAATATTATTAACAGTCCTCTTTAACTTGCATGGCCATTCGGTCAAACTATTGTAAACAAACAACCCAAAGCGGTTCCATAAGTTCCGCCATCAATTCCAAGTCCCATTAAACGCGGAACGGAGCCTCATAAAGAACGTAGGCTACTCGCATGCCTCACTAGTAGTATCCGCCGTTACAGCGAGACACCCAAGACAAAAAAAAGCCCTCCAGCGTCTTCAATAAAGGTCTTTGTCACAGGAGACTATTTGCACCGGTAAATTTCGAGATTTGTGGTGGATTGTTCCGACATTCAGAGGAGCTCAATTTCCTAAGGAGTATGTCCAACCCCCAAAATGGACAACCTTCAGCCGTAAGCCATCTTGATATGAGAGATTATGTGGGTGTGCCATGTACGCTGCACACAGTCAGTGGCGAATGTCCAACCACAATATGGATGATTTCTACCCAACGACCAACCTGGTATGAAGGGCTCTATGAGTATCGCCTACAAAATTCTCAGTGGGCTGTTGAGGGGCACAAACCGTTTATTGGAAGAATCCACATCAAACCGCGTTCCCACGTTGGGGGCTCCTCCTGGCCAAAGGGCCAAGCCTCTCAGTACTTTTCTAGAAATAGCGTGAAATGACCACTACAGATAATTCTTAACAAGCATGAATCAGTTCCATAATGAACCTGGATGTTTCGGAAGGTCTTCGCCTCGCCTGACAGAGAAAATCTCGCTTGAAACGCCATGAAACCTTCAAAATCATGCTGCCGGTGATTTACTTCATCTACGCGCTGTTGCGGAAACCGATACTCCACCAGGTATAGATGATCCTTACCATTTCGCTTCGATTAATCTACCCGCTCAACTCTGCGTGTTATCCCTACTTCACCCGTTATTTGCATCCCCATTCAGACGAACGTTTACCACGCGTATCAAATCGTGCGTGCAAACAAAATTCCAGCGGAGAACATAATTACCTTCGCCTACGATGATATTGCAAACAATTTTAAGTAAATCTCACGTACACCCTTTGCCATCTGATGGCAAATGGACTGACAAAAAGGCGTTTCTTTGTTTAGCTTTAAAAAGTCTCATTTTTGAGCAGTATTTCTCATGGATATAAATCATAGATGGAGTCGCCTCGTAGAAATTTATGAGGTGTCGTGCGTCACTTCACATGTCCACCCTGATTTTTTTCTTGCAAGCCATAGAACCCTTACGAACTCAGCACAACTGATACCAAATCATATTGCATCCATTGTAGTATATCCCCGTACGTGTTAGCTACGTCCCATTTGTCTGTAGTCTGAAGTTAATGCCATTGATCCCTGAATGTCGGTTGAGTGTATCAACTGACTGATGATTTGGAGCAATTGTTAAGTAGTCTAAACATTTTATACTACATCCCATTGCTAGGATATTTAAAAGAAACCTTTTCAGTCGGTTGAGTGTATCAACTGACTGATGATTTGGAGCAATTGTTAAGTAGTCTAAACATTTTATACTACATCCCATTGCTAGAATATTTAAAAGAAACCTTTTCAAGGGGTGAAAAGGTGGTTCTTGTTTGGAGGCGTTTTCTGCCCAATCAAATTTTATTAAAAAACCTGGCTTAGGACATGCTCACAAAATCTACTGCGATTGATATCCGGCCAGAAATCCACTCCAAAGATTTACATTTTCACAGAAAATTTGTAATGTTTTACGTTGACTACACAACGTTGTCAAGTCAAGTCAACGCAGTTCTATTAGTACACAGTTGGCGGTAGCCATAATACAAATCATGAGGTGTATGTGCACTAATAGATGTTTTTAATATGGTGAGCAGTGATGGATTGCAGCGCGCATAAAAATAAACAAAATGTGAATTGGGATCAAGTCAACAAAGGGAACTTATCGGATGTGGGGGTCCCTTGGTGAAAGTCTGGACGGCGGTAACGTGTTTTCAGCGCAGTTTGGATGCAACACGTGTTCCATGATTGTCCGTGGACTTGAAGTGCTTGGCTGACTCCCTGCACCCTGCGCGCGCGCCAGCTTGTCCCTTAACTGGGTTCGGTTTACTTTCATGTAGGTAGCAGCGTATACGTGGGCGCGTCGGCACGAGTGGTTGCTACGCTGACTTGGCGGTGCAGACAATCGATATCCGATGAGTCAGCTTAATGCGACGTTTTTCGTGTTTGCGCGTATGAGAAAAAAGACAAGCCTCGCGATCCAGTGAGCTACTGTGAGTATGTGGTGAGTGACTGGAGTTGAAAAATCAAATATGCGGGTGACTGGGTCGCTATACTCTCGGTCAGAACTGCTCTAAGGTTATTAACTAACACTTAATAGAAAGGTTGACATGGGGTGCACTCATCAGCGTGAAAATTTATTTAGAACAACAACCCAGAAAACCATATACAAACAGAAATTACGAGCCTTTCATCTCTTTCTATTCGACCTACCTGTTAATTTCTCTCAAAAGACCCGCTGCGACTTTTTAATATTTTATTCCAGAAATCCGTTCCCGGGGCCAAGCATTCTATGACTACGAGCACGAAGATGTTTACAAGGGTATGGGTTTGACTTTCGTGAAGGAGTAAGTCCATATTCCGGTGCGCAGCAATCGAATGAATTTCTGTATCAGTTCGTTGTGTAACACGAGGTGAAATGACACTGCGTGTCAATACACAACGTTAACCGTAGAGTAGACTAATCAGTTTCACTGTATTACAGAATGGTAAATTTATTTAGGCAAGCATTAATCATAGAGAAATCTCGGGCAAACCTCTAGCGCACTCAACCATCTACTTGCGGCCTCACAGGTATGCTCAGTGTAATAACAATATTTTTCAGAGCTTAGTTCTCTGTTTTTACCTTCCAAGCTAGCGTTCTTTTCAAAAGCACCACCAAGCTTCACGGCATGTATCAGTGCCCCAAACCAGATACAGCGCGTCGTTCAAGGGCTGTATGAGGAAACCACATTCTTGAGAGTGTGGCGTATTGTGGATGCGCCATTGGGAATCGGCATTCGAAGAATCAGGATGCTTATTGGTTCCGACCAGAGCTCGTCTGGACCGGCAGGTTGCCCGATCTTCCGGCAAATGGAGTGCGAGACAAGCTGCTTGGATGTAGAATTGCTTAACTACAAAGAGCAAAATGGTGTCGGTGCGGGACTCTGTCGCTTCCCATGTTGCCGTCAACCTCATGTCCATAGGTCACTCAAATTTCCACGCAACTCTCGTTTGCAAACTATTTTCGCGTTAACGGGAGACTCGAATGAAGCTCAGCTGAATCTTTCATCCATGCTATCTTTCATATGCGTGTGCCGTAAAAGCTGTTCATTCATTGTTACAAAATGAAACCGTTAGAAAGCCGGGGAGTATGCCTGCCTGAGGGGTTGTCGGAAAGTTTCCAGTAAGCCAACGAAAAGGTTCCTCCGAGAAGTTATCCCGTAATAGCCCGAATGCTGTACCAACCAAATAAAGCAGCGGTTCATGGGCAGCACACTCAGTTATTGAACAACGTAAATTAGGATTTCAGTTGAGGATCAGTTGAGTATTAAAGAATGGCACTCACTTCAATATAGCGCCTCGTTCTCACGTGTGCTTAATTTTTTGAGCTACTGAGTTAGGCGAGGGCTACTCTGTCGTGCTTCTAGGTAACCCCCGTCCAACCCAACTGCAATCCCTCGGCTTAAGGAGAAAATCCAACTACTATGCCTGGCAAACAGTCCAAAATTCACATTTTTCCGTTTTCAATATTCTGTAACGCCCGTAATCTGAGTTAAGATTTATCAGATCCTAGATGTCACTTATTTGATAGGCTGCAAATGGGTAGTTACTGTGAATATAATACATGTGAAGAACACCACTGTCAAGGGAAAAATGGCACTGTTGATTAGATAAGGCACGGTAGATCTACGCAGCCATTTATGGAGACAAAAGGACTTTAGTAAAACTGCATTCGTAGGGTTCATAGAGTGCTCCACAAATTCGTGCTAGAATCCCTGTGAGGAAGTGGGTATCTCGAATCAAAAATGCTCGATCCGGAGTGTTTGACATTCGGACCAATCAGGGTGTGCCTTCGTTTGGTCAGTGTCCTGCACGTGACATCCGTCCAGATGATGTGATGTTCGGTTATTAGTAGCGTATACAAATATGTGGATATTTTCAAAAACATATCTTATTACGCTACTAAGAGCGTAATTCCCAAGTAGCTGATGGAACTAGCTGAAGTAGAGAGTTGCCTCAAACCATAGGAGATACTGTATCCCGTGATAAAGGACAAACCAAATGACGTCCAAAATATCGATCTCCTATTCCCATGTTCATGTGACCATGCAAACAGGACATTAATGCAAGTTAATTTGACTACTGATTATATCCAGTGGCGTTCACGAAACAATATCCGCCATCCATTCACTTCATTTTGTTAAGTGCTGAAATGACAGACCGCATAGAAACTGTGTGGATAAATAACTCAAAGTTGGACAAATTCTTTTAACATACCAAAATCGTCTGCATTGGCAGTAATGAACCGTAGAACGTTTTATATCCTTACGATTTCCCTAAACACCAATTAGCCCAGGCCGATTGCGCAACAACTCGGCTAATGCAGCGTGTGCGAAAACCCATATATTTGGGGAATATTACCATAGGATTTCCATTTCCGCGGCGTTTTTGCTGCGATTCCATATACGTGGGAGCGCCACACAACAAGTTACTTTTCAAGATTACCTTAACCTTCCGGTTCACTTGCAGCGGTCCAGATGACAATGTGTTCATCTTCTAATCTGGCCGAGGTGGGAATTTCCATATTTCCTTCCGAGATGGATCAGTGAGTTTGGGTAATATTTGTAACCACGTTTATAGCACACAGCGTTTTCTAAACGAGGCTTAATTGTGAAAAGATTCAAGAGGATTAGATAAACCTATGTTGCCGCATCACCATTGAGAGTTCCTCATAAAAGAGAGTTTGTAGTTTAAACTGGCCTACACATCAAGCGAAAAATGGAACAGAAGCTATGGGGTTCGAACGTTTCTCTCAAGAGTGATATTTCCGGCAGGTAAGTTTGGTAGTTCTCGTCTGGTTGCATTCAATGATAAAGTCATATCGAAGTTGTTTTACTAAGTTTAGGGTTGCTCAAGTCACATGATTTTGCGGTTGACTCATTTGGACTACTGCGCAATCTTAGATACAATAAATAACGAAGCAGGTCGTATCTGGTAACTCATGAGGCGTAGATGCTTTTTTTCATTTCTCGAGAGACAGCTCGAATCTTTGGCAGTATGAAGAGGGTTTTGTATTTTTGTATGAGGAGGCAGTCTGTGATGAAAACCCGAGAAGCAAGGTACAACTGTTCCATCCTTATTGGAAATCATCAGTGGTGTGCTTGGTAGTTGCAACATTGAACTGCTCGGCCACGGGCGGCCAACTAAAGGCCTAATTCCTCTGCCCTTAGTCAGGATATAACTTCGTCCATCCATCAATCAAGGGATCCACATCAATGGTGACTGCCTCCTCGAGTGACACCTTCTCACATAAAAAGTCTATTTGTCGTGTTGATGGACTGTTATTCCCTCTAAACGATTAACAATCTGTTGATAATGCGATGACATTTGGATTTTTTCAATTTTATGGGAATCGCCCTAAATTATCATGGAACGTGATTAGGGCTAAAATTCTCTCTACAGATTGGTTTACAGGACGGAATTTCAATCTTCAAACATTAATACACGGCGAATGGAATGTATAAACTGGATATCTGGTTAAAAACGTCCGTGATGTTGCCAGTCGTGGTGGTCTGAAAACCGTTTTTCCAAGGGAACAAAATACATTTAACAGTTGCCAATGCGCAGACGGAAACAGTAGGAATGCTGAGATTAGTCTGAAAGCCGGACTCTCAGGTGAGTAAGTTCACGCCTTAATCGCTCAGCCATCTCGAGCTCGCGAGAGTATTCCTTCTTGTTTTGCGACAGGTCACTGCCAAAAAGTTGATTGCTACCCTCGCCTACATGTATTCAAAAAGAATG